GTAGCTAGCCTTTTACTTTAGCTATAGGTATATAGTAATAGTAATACTATTATATATTTCTTTAGTAAGTATAAGGACGTTAGTAGGTAATAAGGCTACTATACTATTATTATTATTCTCCTTATTACCTTACCTACTTACCTTAGAGAGTAGCTATTATTACTTATTATAGGTATCTTTTAGGTATAGTTTAATAATAGTTAAATAAAAAGTTTATAAGCCTTAAGGGAGGTTAATAGTATAAGTAGTCCTATTACTAGTAATAAGGTAAAAGAGGCCTTACTAGCCCTTTTTCTTATACTAGACGCAGACTATAGATTAAAGCAAAAAGGCCACTATTATAGTAGTATTTAGGCTGTTATATATAGTTACTACCTTATTAACTTACCTTTTTATATAAATCTAGTAAATAGCCTCTATTACTTTTCTTACTACTTTAGCCCTTTTAAGTAAGGTTAGTAAAGGTAGTAATAAGTTAGAGATTTATAAGTAGGCACTAAAGACTAGTAGTATAGGTACTAGGCTATTTAGGCTAGCTATATTATTAATTACTTTAATAGCTAGCTAAAAGGTAACCTTAAGTATATAGCCCTTACTATAAAGGATATTATATATATATTAAAGGGGCGTATAGTATTTTTTAACCTTACTAATACTATTATAAGCTTTAATTAGTATTTCTTTAATATTAATATAAAGTAACCTTACTAACTACTTAAATTTACTAGTATAAAAGTTTAAGCTAGTATTAGTAATAATCTAGTTAGGTAGGCTAAAGTAGACGTTAATCTAATATATCTAAAGTGCCTCTTATATATACTCTATAGTAACATTTTTAAGTAAATAGGCTACTTAAAAGGATATTATAGTATTAACTATATATAAGGCTAGGTAGTTACTATTAAGGTAGATAATATTAATAATAATCTTATAGTTAAAGTTATATTTATTATTATGTAGAGTAAATTTAAAGTAATTAGGCGCCTTTATATTTATTTAGTAGTAGTAGTAGACCTTAGTTAATTTCTCTAAGGCTATAATCTTAACTTTATTACTAGATTATTAGAGGATATAATAAAGCCTTTAGACTAATAGGTAGCTAAAGTAATAATAAATTTACTATAACTTATTATCTATAAAATAGTAGTAGGTAATACTTTACTTATATTAATTAAGTAGTATCTACGCGTAGCCTTATTTCTAGACAGTAGGTATAATAGTATTACCTTAAATTAGCTTATTAGTAAGCTTATTAAATTTAATATTATACTAATCTATATTTATAAGGTAAAGTAAAAATAAGGTATTTAATAGTATTATATAAAAGGTTAATATACTAAAAGGGGTTAGTATGTTAATTACCTCTTATAATTTAAAGTAGTTACTACTACTAAAGTAGATTTTTACTTTACCTACTTATAACTTATTTATAGCTAGATTTCTTTTTATTTAGTAGTAAAAGGTAAGATACTACTTATATCTAGCTATTAAATATTTAGCTGCACTAAAGTTAGGTATAATACTATAAAATAAGATAAATAAATATTACTTATTAAGGGTAAAGATGTCTGTATTAGGTAGCTTATTATTATATAGATTCTTATATAAGGAGTTATCTTTTATAAGAAAATAAGTTATAAATTAGTTATATAGTAATAAAAAAAGAGTAGGCCTATTAATAGTAAATAAGTTAAAAAACGTTATTAATATATAAAATATAGTGCCTAATTCTTTATCTTTATTACTTTTTATATAATTACTTTCCTTATCTAAAGTAAATAGCTTATATTCCTTAAAGTTAGTTATAAAGTAGTTAAAGGCTTTAGGTAAAAAGTCTGTTAAATACTACTTTTTATACTTATAGTAGGCTTATTACCTTTTGTTTTTTAAGTGCTTTATTAACTAATAGTTAGGCTTGCTATATATATAGCACTTTTTTATAAATAATAATAAGGGTAAAAGGGGTGCTTATTACTATAGATTACTATTAAAAAGGCGCTATAGTATAAAGTTACTATAGCTATAGTTGTGTTAGCTAAATTACTAGTAACTTTACTAGCTGTTATAAGTATAGTTAGTCTAGTATTAATTATTTACTTCTTTAGTTAGGTATTAACATGTAGGTTATTTAAATTATATTATGTTACTAATTACTAATTAAAGCTAGCTACACACACTAGTAAACGTTAAAAATAAATTAAAAAAGGCAAAAAAGCACTCTTCTATCTTATAGCAGGAGTTAAGTAATTAGTTATAGAGGGCTATATTAAATAAGGTATTAATCCTTATAACTATTCTTATAAGGGTAGTTACTCTCTTAATAAGTAACTCTAGGTATTTAGCCTTACTTTTATCTAGATTATCTAAAATAGTCCTTATTAAATTAGTCCTTTATAGCTTAGTAAGGTAGGCCTAAAAGGTCTCTTTATTCTTAAAATTACCTTTTATCTATATAACTATAGTAATAAAGTTAGTCTAGTTATAAAAATAGTTAGTATAGTACTTTATAGCCTTACCTTTAAGTATAATAAAAAAGGCGCTTATAAAGTGCTCTTACTAAATCCTAGCCTTTATATAGTAGTTATAAAAGATTATAAGCTTTAATTTAAGTAACTTATATACCTTTTTACTATACTTTATCTTATTAAGATATAATTTAATAAGGTTAGTAAGCTAGTAAGTTACTAGTAAGGTAGTAGTAACTAGTATAACTAATAGGTAAAAGTAAGCGTTACTTACCTACTTAAATAGTAAAAAAATAAAATTTAGGTTATTATATAATAAGGCTAAATTAATAGGCCTTTATTAACCTTTTTAGACTTAAGTAACTTATACTAAGGGGGTAATAATATAAAAGGGGCCTAGTTAATCTTATATTAATATTATTTCTAGTAGTAGGTTTATAATATCTCTTATAAAGTTAGGTTTATTAATCTTTAAGTAAAAATCCTTACTCCTTTTTTTTTCTTCTTTAATATCCTTAAGCGTCTACACCTTTAGATTATTAGCCTTAAGGGTATAGTAAATTTATTTAGTAATAGTTAGTAACTTTACTATTAATACCTATATACCCCTATATATTAGGTAGTCTTTAAATTTAATAATAGTTTTATAAGTAGTACCCTTAAAGGTATTAAGTAACTATTCTTTAAAGTCTTTAGTAGTATATCTCTATAGCTATTAACTATATAGCTATATAAAGCTATATTATATTATTTAAAGTATAATAATAGTGCTTAAGGCGTTATATTACTTAACTTAGGTAAGGCTATTAGGAATATTAGCTAAATTAGTTATACCTTATAGTTATATAATAATAAAAGGCTAGCTACGCTTTAGGATAAAATATAAATCCTTAATATCCTATAGATAGATATACTTCTTTACCTTAGCTAGCGCCTATAGTTTACTTTACCTTTTACTTAGTCCTTTTTTTACTATAGTTACCCTCTATTAGCCTTACTAACCTCTTAAATATAGGCACTTACTTCTTACTTATAAGGTTAAAAATAAATCTATATATTAAAAGAATTATTACTATTAGTATAGATAATAATAAAATAAGTAGATAAATAATATAATATAAGGAGGTATAAGTAAGAAATAAAGTAAATAAAAAAATAAAATAATAAATAAATAGATAGTAGTAGATAGCTCTAGGGAGGCCTTACGCTTTAGTAATATAAAAAGATAGCTTTAAGGAGGCCTTATACTTTAGTAATATAAAGAGATAGCTCTAGAGGGGCCTTATAGTAGATCTTACTTAAAAAACAAGAGGAGATATATATTATCTCTAAAAGGAGATATATATAAACCTTACTTTTTAGTAAGCAGGATACTATAGTTAAAGATTTTTAAAGAAAAAAAGGTAAAAAGTTAAGGTTATATACCTTACTTAAGGGTAAATAATAAGTAGTCTTCTTAAATTAATTAGGATAATAAAGTTAAGTAAAAGTTATATTAGTTACTAATAACTATACCTTACTTAAAAAAGGAGAGAAAGTAAGGAGGATAGTATAGTTATTAATAAGTATTTAAAGGATAAGAAAAAGCAAGTAAATTAAGGTAATATAGGTAACTTTTACCTTTTTTACCTTACTTAAAGAATAAAAAGAGGCGTACTTACTAAAAGTAACACTTAGCTACTAATTATTTAGTTAAAAGAAGAAGTTATAATTACTATAGGCTACACCTAGCTAATAATATAATATTAAAAGTGTATAGAGGTAAGATTAGTAAAAGCTATTTACTTATAAATACTATATTAAAAGTAGATTACTTAGGTAGTTCTTACTTAACTACTTTATAGCTAGTCCTACTAGTAAGATCTTATTTAGATAAGAACTTATAGGAGTCTATTTACTTATAATCTTATATAAGCTGTTACTACTATAGTAAGATAAAAACTTAGTAAGATAAAAATCTTAATAATTAAAGGAAAAAAAGGTTAAAAGATAAAAAAAAAAAGAACTTAAAGAAACTTAGGTATAAAAAGAAGATAATTATACTAAATACTATAAAAGTTATTAGTAAGTAAGTAGTATATAAAAAAAGGGACTTCTCTAAAAGTAATAAAGTTAATAGTAGTAATAGTAGTTATTATATAGCAGACATAAGGCTTAAAGGGTTATTTACTAGGTATTATAAGATCCTAGGTACTAATAATCTTTAGGCTAGGTAGCACTTTAATACTTTAATCTAAGCTACTATAGTAAGTAAAGTATTATAAGCCTCTTCTAATAATCCTTACTAATCTATAGTAGTAGTAACTATAAAGTTAACTACTAATTAGTATTAGTATTATAGGGATTATAATTATAAAGTAGTAATAGTTTAATTAACTACTAGTTACTTATTTAAATAGATAATAAGAAAAAGAAGAAGAAGTTATTACTACAGATATTTGTAGTAGTGTAAGTAAGCCGCTGGGGTGAGTCACGTGATGGTAAATCACGTGACCATGGATTGGCTCCATCATTGAACAGTTGAATATCCCGACACTAACCATAGGCCTCCCCGACCAGCTCGAACATACCCGGCTCGCCGTTCGGACCGGGGACGCCCTCTCTGAGGACCATGGGGAAATTGCACCCGGCAATGACGAAGACCTTGTCACCGGGCTGCACCGAGGACGGGCCGAGGCAGGCAAGCTGTTTTTGCTTGGTCATGAAGAAGCGCCGTAGAGGCGCGACGTTCTCGATAACTTCGCTCTTGGTCTTCTCTCCCGGACTACCTGCACACAAGGCCCTCTCGACCACATCCGTCAGCTTGTTCTTCTGCTTTCCTTCCCACCACCACGACAACGAGGACAACGACGCCGCCTTTTCCGCAAAAGCGGCGCTAGCCACGGAGAAGGCGTCATCGATGACGGCTCCGGCCTCGACAGGGCCGGGTCCCTGAGGGGTGCCGACCGGCCCGACCTCGTCGATCAGGACGGCGTGGACGTGCAGCGTCGCGAGGTCGCCGCCGAACCAGGCGACGGCCTTTTCGTCCCCGCAGGCCGAGTACCCGTGCCCGTTGACTACGATCTGGTCCATCGAGCCGCTGATGTAGAGGGTCAGCAGCCGCGCGCGGTTGACGAACAGGACTGGCCTGGCATCGTTGGCTTTCCTGCGCCAATCGGGAACCCACGACGGCAACCTTCCGCCGTCGCATTGGGCACGAGGACCGCCCGCGGCGAGGAGGATGTCGAGGCTCTCCTCGGTGCGAATGATATCCCTGGCTGCCTCGCAGAACACCCGTCTCGTCGACTTCCCGTAGTCGGGCTTCAGTAGGCCCTCGCTCTTTCTGACGAGGCCCAGAAGCGCAAAGACCTTGTCTCGTGGGTCCTGTGCATCTCGGTCCCATGTGTTCCATAGAAGGTCCGAGAGCTTGCCGTCCACGAGCCTCATCTTGCAGAGGTGGTTAGCCAGCCCGTATCGTCTTTTCAGCTGCCCCCATGGCCTTCTGAAAGGTAGTCCACTTGATAGTCCGCTGCCCGCATTGGAGCACCGCCCTCGAGCTTGCGCTCCAAACCTCTTGCACAACCCACGTGCGGCTCCACCATGGACGGCCGAGGAGCTGGTCGACGGCGGCCCAGTCGCTGTGGTAGCGCTCCTCGAAGAAGCCGTACATGCTGTTCTCGTAAAGAACGGGAATGCCAAAGGCAATGTGGCTGACGCTGCGGTTCTTTTCCCAGGCTACCATACCTCTGTCCCACCTTTGAATCCGTCTCCGACACTCCAAGGGATTCCAGTACCCCAGGGTGATGTAGTAACGGTAGTTCATGGATGCCTTCCATTTGATTTCGTCGACCCATTCTCGGACAACATCCCGCAAATAAGCAAACGCTGATATGAATGCATTGGACAGTTCTGCTCCCCCTGCACCGGCCTTCAGAGAGGCTCTCGAAGAACCAACCACAAGTTCAGCATCGTCTCCGGTGGTGGTGGATGCCCCCTGAGCCGACTGATTGTCGAAGCTATCCGCGTCATTCTCGACGCCATCATCCTCGTCCTCGTGCTCGTCAAAATACACTCCGTTTAGTGCGGCGCGGCCACTGCCAGTCTCTGAGCTGGTGTCTGATGCCACTCTCTCGCCGTTGATCCAACGTCCCCTATCGCAATTCTTTTTGTCGATGGCCATCTTCTTCAGGAACTCGAGGGCAGAATCACTGCTGCCGTCCTCCGTGGCCGGGCCTAGCCAGATGACGGTGCGGAGAGCGCGCGTGTAGATGCTGCGCATTTGCTGCACCTGCACGCCCCGCTCCGAAATGTCGGCCTGGTTGATGCAGATGGCATCGATCCAGAGGACTCGAGGTTCAGTGGCGCGACGAAGGGACTTGAGAAGGCATGTCACGTTGGGCGTGATTGAGACGACGGCTTGAGACGTTGTTGGGCCTGGGCTGGAAGAGACAGCGAGGCTATCTGTGAATCCTTCGGATCCCCAAGCATACGAAACCGCCTCATATTCTGGTGCCGATTCCAGCGGCGTCGACTGTAGCGTGCATGAAAGCTCGGCTGACACGTCGCCAGGTTGCAGCGTAAGGAGCCGGATATAGCCCTGCGGAAGGTGTTGGTAGATGGAATGCATTTGGGCCAAACGGAAATTCAAGTTAATTTCCTACCTGGCTTTTTGTAAATAAGACCAAAAACGCGTTTGTGGGTTGTGGTTGAGGAAAAGTCATGAGGGGGTAAGACAGATAAACGCCCATCCATCCTCCCCCCCCCCTGGTCGTGTCAGCAACTAGTTCGTCGGCAAACGCGCGGAACGAAGGGCCGCTTCTGCATGCACCGGGGTATTATGTACCATGGTGAGTATGCGTATCCACTGTTAGGTCTTGACCTCTTCGCCTCCTTTTGATCGCGTTTTGCAATATCCTTGATGTGCAGCATCACTGCTTCAAGCCTGTTGCCGTGACATATTTCTTGATCAAATAACAGCCAACGCCAGGGAACCCGGCGTGCCTTGAGACTTCAAAGGGCGTCCTACTCCGTCAAGAGACAGGCTTTGGCAGGCTTCAACACATCGAGTGGCGTAATAGTGTTGGTGGTGGATGGATGACAACCAACAGTGCAACGAAGGTGATCATCATGAGAGAGAGGGGGAGAGGGCGTAATATTTACGAGTAGCCCATGTTCGATGGGCTGCTAGACGGCAAAGACAAAAACCCGTATACTTGATGATTGCATTCATGATATCATGGGTATGCGGATAGACCTGCTAGACCTGCTAGACCTCCCGTCTACCGCCCAATAATCTGGCACCTCTAGCGTGCGGGACGGCAAAACGCCGCTGCTCGCGTCAGGCGAAGGGATCGCTTGCATGTAGTAGTCGGGCTGCTGGGCGTAATAGCTCGAGCCCCCGACGCGAGAATCGTGCCCCAGCTGGTAATCTTTCAACAGCGCGTAATAGAATGCCGCGTTCGCGACGATACAAGCGCAGAGTATCTCTATGGATGCCCACTGACGGAAATCTTATCGTTAGCTTTCGGCTGTTTGTAGCGACGACGCCACGGGGGTCGCCTACCATGGAGCGAGATCTCTGCGACACCGCCTGGTTTAGTATCATGGGCAGTCGCAGGATAGTGACAGCAACAATGAGGCCTGCGATGCTAAATAAGAGGATGAGTTGCGCCTTTCTGCGGACATGTCAGTATCAAGGCCGAGAATCTCACCACGTGAAGGCTTCACCTACGCCTTGCCGTCAAGCTTGACGTGCCGCAGGATGGGAAATGGGAAAACGATCAGAGCGATATCGGTGATGATGTTGAAAACGGCCATGGTGATTAGGTTTCCCAGCGCCCGGTGACAGGTATCTAAGTAGCCACGTTAGTTCAACTGCATGGCAGCAGTAGCAACAAACATACTGGCACCAGAGGTATCAGGAGACCACATCCTGCAAGGAGATTAGAACAAGCACATGCAATAAGGCGAGTCGGAGGGACCCACAAATCTAGTGGCCGGCATTCCACGAGAGTGGGTATCAGAATAACAAAATATGTAACGACGATGAACCACCAGAGGGCCGTGGTTGCGACTTTGCCCCAATGGAAAACATCCACGAATCGGGAGTAGAAGTTGAGCAAGCAGAGCTTCAATGACCATAAGCTGAGACGGACAAAAATAAGTTAGCGAGCTACGGTGGGCGCGCGGGTTGCCAGCAACATACAACAGAGCATAGAATATCCGCGCCGGGATGACCAACTTGTGTGAGACGACGTAATACTCGGCCAGCTTCTCGACGGTGAGGCCACGCGCGGCCGCTTGCCCCTCGGTGGCGGGACCGTATGTGTGTGTCGGGTTGAGCATGAAGGAGACGGCGATGCAGGTCGTGCGGCCGATGAGCGGGACGAGAGCAAAGGCCATATAGGCATCGTCGGCATGCCATGTCCGGTGGCAGGATGCGTGGACTCTGCACCGCCATAACAGGCGGTACCCGCAGCGTATGAGGATGAGGGTGGCGCAGATGCCGGCCGTGACCAGGTCGAAGGCCACGTCCGCTGACATGACTTTCTGTCCAACTTGCGGGGTCGGTTGTTCTGTTTTGGAGGGCTGCTCGGTAGCGGCAACGAAGCCCGTTATGCTGGCGCTGACATGGTGTTTTTGTAGGCTTGTGAACGCTCTCTCACTCACACACACTCTTTCTCTTTCTCTTCTGCGACGTAGCGAGGGCCCTTTGCTGTCGTTGTGTGGTGTCGATTTGAGATTATAAAATAACCTCGTCGGTCTTTGAGAGGGGCGGGGGGGGGGCAGTCAGCCACCTTACTGCCGCTACTGCTGCTGCTGCTGCTGCTGCTGCTACTTGACTGAAAACGGCCTATTCCAATACCTCGAATCCTTCGCAGAATGTGGATTCTGGCCGTTTGAATAGTTTAACGTTGCGGCATGTGGTGGAGAACGAGGGAGACAGGGAGACTCGGATGGGACGAACTGACAGGCAGGGGCAGTGCCAGCATTTTCAACAGAAATGGTACGCGCCAACCCAAAAACGGATGACGAGAAGAACTTGAATGAGAGGTGGCAATAGTAGAGAATCAAAGAGACTGGATTCTGAGTCAGCTACTACCACACCCCCCCCCCCCCCCCCCCCTAAGCCATAATCAAGCCGACTTTGTTCTAGTGCAGAGCTCTTCTGAGAGGACGGCGCATGGCTCTGATCTGGTAAAGAGGCGCACAGCCTGCAAGGGAACTAACTACCGTCTTTTTGGGCGGGAAACAAGCGATATGCGGGCAGACGAAGGAGGGTGTGCGGGGGAGGGGTGGAAAATAAGCAAGCATTCTTAAGACTTGTGTCTCGTGGGATGGATGATGGTTGCCCAGTTGCATGCAGCTAAGCTTTCGAAATGCCATGCCTATACCTATGTTCATGATCCGGGAGTGCGGTCCACGCTGGTGTGCGATGTGATTCGCATCATGTTCCGGGGGAAGACGGAACAAGAGGGGAAAGCCAACGGAGCACAGCCTGCGGATGAGCTCTCCTGCGGCTTTCGGGCCCTACTAGCAGGCCAAGCTTCAATCTCCCCACATAGGGGGGATTGATGATGCATGGGGAACATCCTGGTAATTGACCTAGCCAAGGATCCCGTTGGCCGGCCGTCACACCTCTCGCTTTCGTATTCATGGGAATGGACGTTGCAATTACGAACCGCTTCTGCCTTTGAGTTGACGGGGGATCCAGTCCGGTTCGCATGTCTTACGTGTCTGGACAGGGCGGAACAGGCGATTGTTCTGGACGCTTTAGGGTTCCTTTGGCTCCTTTTCGAATAGATTACCTAGGTACTGGAATCTAGACTCAATCCTCGAGCCCGGTCCTCTTTGTCTACGTAAAGGTGTGTCGGTTTATCTGTCACGGCAGATACAACATCTCCCCTCTCTTCAAAGGGAGCAGTAGTTGTTTGAGGTTGGCTTATGCCCGACCCGGAGTTGGCTGCGCGCTTGTCGTCCCGCCCAACCCCAAATTGTGACGGACTTTCAATTCGTCCTAGCGCCGACTGCTTTCCAAGCCCGCGTTATGGGATGACAGAACAGCCTAGTGCGCTGCTAGGTTAGGTATTCGGTAAATTAGTGGCCGGGTTGTTGACAGATTCGCCTCTTGTCAGCCAGGCTTCGACCAAGCCAGATTGGGATGATGGAGGCCTGACGTACTTGCAGCTGCAGAGTGTGGTTGCATCACTATGATTTCGGTGTATGCTGAGATGCAGCATTCGTCTCCCACTCTCGCATTCTTGTGATGGCCATGTGCATCACGATTACGTGCAGAGAGACGGGCTGAGTGCAACGGCCAAATGCTGACCATCCATCCCATGGGCGTTGACTGTTGTCCTTGCAGGCCGTCTTACTAATCTTTACCAACCCGGGGAAGATGGACCCTTTTGGTTTCGGGTTGATCAATGTAGTAGTGTGTGATCTGCTGCTCATCGATGATCTTTTCGCCCAGCAAACTGCCACGCCCTGGCCTTTGTACCTATGTCACCCCAGAGGCCCGATCGCAGGCTGATCAAGCACCCTGCCCTCATTGATCGAGGCCACCAATGAGGTAGGAGGTACCTTTGACCGGCATGGCGGCATCCGCGAGTTTGGGGTGTAAGATTCAAATGTGAAAGACGATATTTCATCGCATCCCAGAAATATCCGGCCGTAGGGTTGGTGGGAAAAAGAAGTCCAAGTCGTCGGCCTTGTTGGCCACTATCTGCGCCTACTCATGAAGATGCTCTGGTGTGCGAACAATCTGCCTCCAACAGTCAGCCTCATCGGATGGATAATCGGTAATGCAAAGACAGCCAATCGCGGACAAAACAAGCATTCAAACACGGGTGATTTCTATGTTACTGGTTCGTCACCCGTGTGAATGCAAAGAGCGGTTCGACAAGAGATTGACCGTCGAGTAGATGCTGTGCTACCAGCTTGAGTCGCTCCGACTTCTATGCGAAGCGAGCAGGCAAAGGGGATCTCGGGCGTTGAAACCCAAACAAGTGCCCCAAGTCCACGGGAACCATCTCGCTCCGTCAACTATCAAGCCTCCTTCCACGGCACCGGATACGGCACGGACGGCACGAAAAAGTGGAGACGGGAGGCCGAAGGTCCAGAGGCCGGAATCGCTAGGAGCAGCCCTACCGTCATTGCCGGCCCTCCCGGGTCCTCCGGGGTCTTTGGGAATTATGCCTCCGTTTCGTCCAAACCTTATCTAGCCGGCTTTGTGAACTTTTCTTCTCCGGCGCACGCTCATTCGGCAAAAAGCAGCCGCTCGGCGCGCACGTGTATCCGTACTGGCGAGAATTCCGGAAATAAAGCTTGACAAACTCACCCGCCGCCCATCGTCTCTTCTTCCCCCCCCTCGCACGTGGACTGTCCATCCATCTATGGTTTATGTCATTGGTGAGTGGGAATCCAGGTCCAAGCATAATGGGGGGGGGAAACGTTTCATCGAGAGTGGTGACCGGCGATGCTTCACCCTCTCCAACATCCAATCAGACGGCGTCTGTCCCGTTCATTCCAAGCCAGTCGAGATCTCTCGCCCTAGCAACTGAGATTTTGCAGTGGGGTTATGTTCCACAGCGATAGGAGGGGTCCGCCGCCGCGAGCCTATGGAAGGTCGGGTTGGATAAGAATCTGTAAGCATGCCTTGATGATATGCAACTTCATCGCTATAATACCTACTACTACTCGACCAAGAGGTTCACCAGCAGGCTAAAATGTGGATAGCATCAGTTACCAAGGGCCCCAAATGCACAAGGGTGGACACTCTCCCTGCGTCGACGCCTGTTCGAATGCGCCATTTGCCGCCCTCCCCCGCCCCGCAGTCTCATAGGATGTACGGATACTCGGACCCCTTTTTCGTCTGATTCGTTTCCTTACTTCATACATCTACGACATTCAGGCACGCAGCCCGGCCTTCTTGTCTCTTCTCTCTCAAAAACCAAGCATGCATACAATGCGACAGACCCCAGAATCCACCATGCATGACCCGGCGGCGCAAAAGAAGACGGTCGACTCGGACGCGCCGGCGCCGGTGTCCGACATCGAAGACACCTCCGTCAGCTCGCTCAAGGATATGTTGGAGAACGAGGGCGAGGATCCCGTGCTGGCGAGGAAGATGCACCTCGTCAATGACGTATGACACATACATACAAAACAAACCCACTCGAAGGGAGCCTTTGCCTTCACCACCCAAAACCCCTGGGGACCGAAGATCGCATCTCCGCTCGATTGGCCGCGAAGAACGGGACTAACGTATCAAAAAGGCCAACGACCAGATCGGCTGGACACCGTTCCATTGGAAGCTCTTCGTCCTCAACGGCTTCGGCTACGCCGTCGACTCCTTGATCGCCCTCGTCCAGTCCGTCACCAACACGGGCGCGTTCCTGGAGCTGGCGACGCCGTCGACCTACCGGAATGCCGGCACCGTCGCCCTGTACGTGGGGCTGCTGCTCGGGGCCGTCTTTTGGGGCTTCGGCGCCGACATCATCGGTCGGAGGATCGCGTTCAACGTCACGCTGCTCATTACCTCGATCGCGACCATCGTGTCGGGCGCCAGCCCCAATTTGCCGGCCTGGGCCTTCTTCGTCGCGCTCGGGGGCTTCGGCGCCGGCGGCAACCTGGTCCTTGACCCGACCGTCTTCCTCGAGTTCCTGCCCAGCAACAAGCAGTGGACGGTGACGGCCCTCGCGCTCTGGTGGGGGTTCGGACAGGCATTGATCGGCTTCATTGCCTGGGGGTTCTTGAGTATGTTACACGCTGTCGTCAACGTCCGCTTGTTCGGCCGGGGTGGGTTACTAACAGTGGTCTCATAATAGCTCAGAACCGATGGAACTGTACAGAGGGGCAAAGCTGCAACTGGTCCAACAACCCCGGTTGGCGATACGTCTCGTTCACGGCCGGTGCCTTCGTCTTCATCACCTCCGTTTTGCGCGTGACCGTTGTGCGCTTGAAGGAGACCCCCAAGTACCTCCTCAGCGTGGGCCGAGACGCGGACCTCGTGCGCAACTACCAGCAGATGGCCCAAAAGTACGGAAGAGAGTGCTCTCTCACGGAAGAGAAGCTCGCGGCGTGCGGCGAGGTGAAGGGCGCGGGGCAGGACAGGCACACGTCCAAGTTCGTGCTGAACGAGCTGGTCGTCCACGTCAGGGGCCTTTTCGTGACCAGGAAAATGGCTCTCAGCACCACCATGGTTTGGTTGTCATGGACATTGATCGGTCTCGCCTACCCCCTCTTTTACGTCTTCCTCCCGTGAGTACACTGACATGAGCTTGGTGCCGTGTAAATGACATTGATCTAACCGCCATCAGCTCTTACCTCGAGTCTAGAGTCCCCAACAACGTGGAGACGCCGTACGAGACATGGCGAAACTTTACGTTGACCAACATATCTGGAATACCGGGCCCGATCATTGCCGGCTATTTGGCCAACCTCCCCCATGTCGGCCGGAAATACACAATGGTCATCGGCGCCCTCTTGTCGATGGCCCTCTTCTTTGCGTACACTGCGGTGAAGACAGCTGATCAAAACGTCGGCCTTAGCTGCGCGATCGGTGAGTGGCCTTTGCGAACCCGGCGGTCATCGCAGATGTCAGAGCCTAACAATCTGCGGAAAACTAGCATGCTGCATCAATATCTACTACGGTACTCTGTACGCGTACACGGTCGAGGTGTTCCCGTCAGCGCACCGTGCCACGGGCAACGGCATCGCAGTCGCCTTCAACCGTCTCATGGGAATCGTCTCCGCCTTCGTTGCTACGTCTGGTAACACCTCAACGGCGGTGCCTCTCTATGTGTGCGCGGCGCTCTTTGGCCTGATGGCGATCGTTTCGGCGCTGTTTCCGTTCGAGCCCTACGGAAGAAGAAGTTCATAGGTTTTGTAGATGCGTCCAGTGGAGCGCAGAGATATACAATACTATTTAATCCGTGCCGCCTTTTGCCGGCAAATATTCTGGGTAAACAAGGCCGCCTTGCTAGACCGTGGTACTTCTATCTGGGTCGCTCATTCATCAATAATCATTGTTGTTAACCCACTTTCTGCAGCTGCCGCGAGCCATACAACTTATCTCCTGGAGTAGTAATGATTTCCTGGGTATCCGCCGCTATGTTTCTCGCTCAATTCCAAATACGCCCTTTGAAAACTACAACGGTTATCGATTGGCTGCTTTAAAGGGGTGATATCTCAGTTGGTGAATGGGTCAAGTAAAGTCCACTCAACTCCGGTACCTTGGATCTGCGGTCCAACATTCAATCGCTGGTATCATGATGAATAGTTAAAAGCACCATGTCTTGGTATTAAAGGTGGTTGTATCCATCGTAATCTGCGGAAAGGAGCAAAAGTTACAGGTTCGGATCAGGCCAACTTGGATATAAATGATGACTATTGTTCCTATTTCACCTTGTTTGGTATCGAGAGTATGGTCAAGTTGCGCGAGACACCATGACTCGAGTCAAGAAGGTTTGCTGTAGTCAGCCTTGTGGAAATTTCCGGGCAATGCACATCATCTTTCATGACACAGTCCAGAAACCCATTTGAACAAGGGACTTGAAACGATACCTATTTTTATTTGGTCTCTGTAAGACGGCGTCTCTGTCATATGATGACTCTTAGTTGTTGATAGTCGATCGGGTCTTTTTTTGATAGCCAACCTATAATTATCCGCAGCGGCACGGGAGCACAAACCACACAGACTCACACGTTCCTCCGATGATGACCCCAGATCACGCTCCCTCGCACGTCGGTGTGACTGTTTCCCAATAATAAGTGCCTTAATGCGTGCCCTATCAGACAATGATGCAACCTGCTTCCCGACGGGAGTATCGTCTCACTCGCTCTTCTCATGTCCTTGACGGGCATCAATGCAACAATCTTGACCACTGGAGGTCCTCATAAAGTTCAGCTGGAATGAGATTCTGCATTCACAAGGACTGGATCGGGGCATCTCTTCCTGTGTTGGGCCGTAAAACGATGCATGTGATGTTTATATGGTTAAAAATACGGTTACTATTTTTGCGCCAAGTGACTAAGTAGGTTTGCGTCCTAGTCTGTCATCAAGTGGGGAGATGGGCTATTAAAGTAGTGGGAGTCGAGGCAACCCGAACCAGGCACACGGAGTCGCGCAAGGTTCGTCTCCTCTCTTAAGTCCGTCATCCCTACATCCGGCACTTATTCTCGTAAACTCTGCTGAGGTCCGCGGTAAGCCCCATACTCCATCGGATCATACTAGGTAGGTGACTACGGCGTCATGCCGTTAGCATGACTTGCCGCGTCGCCTCCGAGTGGATTGTTTCATCTTACCCCGCCAGCTAATCACAGCAGAGCATACTCCCGTTCTGGCAAAGCGGTGTTGAGTCGGTTAAATCAGGAAGGCCGATGGAGTTCGAGATAAAGCCTCGTCCGATGAAAACCGTAAGCAAGAACAGCCGACGTCAGGCCAGAGCTTGCTTCTGGAAAATCGGCACCGCGGATCGAGTAACAGCGCTTGGCATGCTGAGTGTCGCATACCCGTCTAGTCGATTGGGTTAGTTGCCCGACTCGTTCGAACGTGTTAGTCCGAAGATTCCTATGCCACACGTTCAGATTGTACCCAAACACGCATTTCAACGAGTTAGAGTGACTCTGACGACACTTACCTCCAGTGACACAGAAACACACCTTAGTCAACAACTCTGATGGATCTGCCGTTCTTTGCAGTGAGAATCCTGCGTAGTTTCAAGCGTTTCTATAACGGGAGCAGACCTCGTCTTGCCCGATCAACGCTGCTGTCTCTTTGCTGCAATAACCTTGCAAAAGCTTTGGCCAACATGAGACGTTGGGCATTCTTTGCGAAAGAAAAGAATACGGAAGTCTTGTTTCGGAAATCTGCCAACGATAATGACAGACTTGGGTAAGCCTCTTCACGTCTGAATCTATGTTACACGGCCTTTGGGCTTGTATCGGTAGCCCTCCAAACGGTAGTTTAACCGAAATGGTGGTGTGGTCCCACGTGGTGCTTGGTGAACACATGCTTGTTCCTCGCCACCCTTCCTTATGTCTTCTCTCTAGTGCGAGATCTTCCTCCTCAACTAGTAGTAACACCTCCTGTCCAAACTTTCTGCTGAAGTCAATGAAGTGCGCGTCAAGATGCTGACTCACTTCTCATAGATCTCGGGGACTCACATGAACTATGGTAAGCGATGATCTCGTATGTTCGGAGCCATGGAGATCGTGTATAGTCGGCCTCATAGAGGCTACCAGAATAGACTGTAGATACATCACTATAAGTAGGCTGCCAAGTTCCTTCTTTTGCAACTATCATCTCCTCACCAGCTCCTCATAAGCTTCTCACCAACGCCTCATCAGCTTCTCACCAACGCCTCAGACATCGAATACCAAGGAAACATACTCAACACAAGCCTAACAAGCTTTTCAAAATGATCGTCCCGCGTTTCGATACCATCTTCACCGTTGGCGCTGCCATCTCTGCCGGCGTTGCCTTGGCTGCTCCCGCGGTTCAGCCTGGTCTCGATACCCGAGACTTGGCCGAGGTTAGTGATTCCAGGATAGGTATCACGCTGTGAAAAAACGTTCAGGGCTGACTTTGAGCTATGACAGAACGAGGCCTTTCTCGCCGAGGACTTCACCGCCTTCATCGTATGTTTTCATCCACGCATTTTAGAAGCATTGACCCAGACGGCTAACGTTCAATCCACAGGACCGACGTGACGATGACGATGAATGGCGCCGCCGCCGTCGTTATGGCAACGTAGAAGACGACGACGGCAAGAAGAAGAAGCAAGACTTCGTACGTCCAAACTAAGCCTCAAAAGTGACATCTGAGATGACTTACATTGTATTCACAGGGTCTTGAGGAGGGCTGGTATCGTGGAGGCAAACCACAAGACTTCTCCGACTCCATCGTATGTTACAACTACAACTCTCAGAAGTAGCAACCAAGAAGACTAATAATCAATCCACAGGAGCGACGCGACGATTCTGACGATGAATGGCGTCGCCGCCGACGCTACGGCCAGGCTGAAGTTGACGATGGCAAGAAGAAGAAGGACGTCGACGACGGCAAGAAGAAGAAGGATGATGTCGACGATGGCAAGAAGAAGAAGGAAGCCAGATCCGAGGATGATGGCAAGAAGAAGAAGCAGGACGTCGACGATGGCAAGAAGAAGAAGGAAGCCAGATCCGAGGATGATGGCAAGAAGAAGAAGCAGGACGTCGACGACGGCAAGAAGAAGGATGTTGACGACGGCAAGAAGAAGGAAGCCAGATCCGAGGATGATGGCAAGAAGAAGAAGCAGGACGTCGACGATGGCAAGAAGAAGAAGGAAGCCAGATCCGAGGATGATGGCAAGAAGAAGAAGCAGGACGTCGACGACGGCAAGAAGAAGGATGTTGACGATGGCAAGAAGAAGAAGGAAGCCAGATCCGAGGATGATGGCAAGAAGAAGAAGCAGGACGTCGACGATGGCAAGAAGAAGGATGTTGACGACGGCAAGAAGAAGAAGGATGATGTCGATGACGGCAAGAAGAAGGAAGTGAGGTCTGAGGACGATGGCAAGAAGAAGAAGCAGGACGTCGACGACGGCAAGAAGAAGAAGGATGATGTCGATGACGGCAAGAAGAAGAAGGAAGTGAGGTCTGAGGACGATGGCAAGAAGAAGAAGCAGGACGTCGACGACGGCAAGAAGAAGAAGGACGATGTCGATGACGGCAAGAAGAAGAAGGAAGTGAGGTCTGAGGATGATGGCAAGAAGAAGAAGACGGAAGACTTTGCCGTATGCTCTACCCTACAATGTCTACTGGAAACATGATAACTGACTTTGAATTCACAGATGCAGCAAGATAGCTCTGACGACGAATGGCGCCGCCGCCGTCGTTATGGAGAGGATGTCGACTTCACGGCCTTCGTTGTACGTTTTCAGCTAGGCCTCTGAAAGCAATAACCAAAATGGCTAACATTGAATCCACAGGAGCGCCGCGACGAGTCCGATGAGTACCGCCGCTACTGCCGCCGCCTCCGTCAGAGCAACAACGACGATGAGTACCGCCGCTACTGCCGCCGTCGCGATGAGGCGGAAGCTTCTCTTGTAAGTTCCCGATAAGCCCCCGGGAGGAAGAGCAACTGGGATAACTCATATTACAGTCCACAGGAGAGGAGGGCCAACTCAGAGGCGACTACTAAGCTCGTTGCTCGAGCAGGTGGTGGTGGAGGACGCGGAGGAGGTGGTGGTGGTGGACGCGGAGGAGGTGGTGGTGGTGGACGCGGAGGAGGCGGCCGTGGTGGCGGAGGAGGCGGCCGTGGTGGTGGAGGAGGCGGCCGTGGTGGCGGAGGAGGCGGCCGTGGTGGCGGAGGAGGCGGCCGTGGTGGTGGAGGCGGCAGCGGTGCAAGAGGGGGAGGCGGCGGACGCGGCGGAGGCGGCGGAGGCGGCCGTGGCGGAGGCGGCGG